CTAAAGCTTGGCAATTTGGTTGTTGGAATTTCCTCCCTCACCGTCCTATGCTTGATAGGGAGCTGAAAATTTGGGCCATTTTTACATCTTCTTTCAAACAGCCCTTTGATTCTAAAGGCCCTGATAAAATCATTTGGAGAGCTATTTCCAATGGAACATTTTCTGTACAGGATATGAAATCCCTCCTATCATAACCATCACAAACTGATCAATCAGTTTTCTTTGACAACTTTTGGAGTCTCTTCATTCCGAAAAAATGCAAATTATTTCTTTGGTGCCTTCTCCACAGAGGTCTGAAAAACAGCAGATAAGATACAAGCTCGGTTTCCATCAATGGTAAGCTTTCCAAATCGGTGTGTTCTATGCTATCAAAATGGTGAATCCTTAGATCACTTATTTCTTCATTGTCCATTCACTACTGCTGTTTGGCTGCACATCCTAAATATTTTTCAGATACAAATTACTTTCCCCAGAACTATTGACAAATTTATTACCGAGCTTTTGTCAAAACCTCTCAAAAGCCAGCGCGATATCCTTTGGAGTAACGCCATTGGATCTCTTATGTGGAACCTATGGTTGGAACGTAACAACTGCATTTTTTCGAAGATTATTAGATCTAAGGCTTCGCTTTGGGAGAACATCAATATAAATATCTCATCTTGGTTCTCCAAATCAAATCATTCTTGTAATTATTCTATAGCTACCATTTCCTCTAATTGGACAGCCTTTTTTTAGGCTCCTCCTTTTTGTATGTATGTTTCTCACATACCTCTTAATGAAATGGTACCACTTTCTCGAAAAAAAAGATATATTATTGATATAACTATGATATCTATTGATTTAACTTGGGAAATTGGGGTTTTTGACCCCACCAATAGTTCAAATTGGATAAATGAACACCTTTTAAACAAACCTAATTTTTGACCCCAACTTCCCTTAATTTTAACCTCTCCCCAAGCCAATTTACCATAGTACCCTCATGTTTAAAAATGAAGGGAACTCCCTCCAAGTAAAACCCTAAACCCCATCTCGGACGTTTGCTTTGTCCTAAATCCCTAAACCCCATCCCGAATTGAACGTTATCTCGGACGTTGGACGAGTCATCCATCCCGGACCTTACGCTTCCAAGACTTTCTCTTCCATTGTTTTGCACTACGAAGTCATCGATCGCAAGGTTAGTGGTCAGGTAGATTATAACAAAATTTTTAAAAACATTTGTTGTTCTGATATCATTATCGGCGCTATCTGAAGCAGCCATGTAGATCTAGGGTCATTTTCATGTTGTGCTTGCAYGACTGAGAAATTTGGGGAAAAAATCAATCTCGGATTCAATCTCGTATTCAATCCCGGATGAATTTGGTTCGGGATAGAGTTCGGGATTGAATCCGGGATCGAATCCGGGATCGAGATGACGTTTTGAATTCCATCTCGGATGTTTGTCCCGGATCGATATCAATCCCGGATGAGGCTGGAATTCCTTTCATCCCGAAGGCGAAATGGTCCGGGATAAGGTCCGGGATGGAAGACAGAATTCTGCTTCATAGTCTCCTTCTTCTGACTCTCCCAACGGGTCATATGATTCATCACTTTCATCTTGATTATCATTCCATAATCCCGGCACATTCCAATCACATACCCTGTCATCTCCTAGGTTACATAGAACAACATCTGATTCCAATGGTGTTAAACCCGCTATATCATGACCTAAATGCCCGTAATACGGGTGTGGTTGTTGGGAAGAAGAGGGGTTCGATGATGAGGAAGGAAATGAATGTATCGAATGTGTGGGTCTCTATAATGGGGGAATACAAGCTGTGGGCATACAACTCGAGGATACGTTTTGGCCTACATGATATGGGAAAGAAGGCATGTACGTTTCATTCTCATGTGTCTGCTTTGGCGTAGTAGATAGGTATATAAGCAATTCAGATAAATCCTCACCAATTAAAAAAAAATTCAGGTCATCGTCATCAGTTATCTCCATTACACAAACTTTAGTTTTAAAATGATATATGCGTCTAATTATAATATCGAATTGAAGGGGGTTTATATTACTCAATCTATACACGTGACCTAGAAATTCTCTGTATGTGGTTGTACTATCCACTGTCAATCCTCTCGTGCGACCACCAACGTAATCTTTTTCACTATCATTCCATTCTCCACCAAATGTTATGAAAACACGAGGCATCCTGCAAATAGATAAAATCAAGTGAGATAAGAATATCGTCCAAAAAAAGTGGTAAAAAAATAACAAAATACATGTCATCCCGGACCGTCTCGGACCAGTCTTGGTCCGAGACATATCCCGGACCACAGTGCTTCGAGATTGGTCCGGGATGTATCCCGGTTCACTCCCGAACCATCTTTCGATCCGGGATTGAACCTGGATTTGTCCGGGATTGAACATTCAATGCCAGATCTCGAAGCTTCAATCTCGGAACAATACTTGTTTGGGATACTGACTGCATTTTTTTTCTTTTTTCAAGAAGCCAAGTGAAAATGTATGAATGGAAAATATTTCAAATCATTTCAGAAATTTTAATGTTAACGTACCTCTAACTCTTCAAATGTGAAAATGTAGGACAACGATTTTAGATAGTGTGGGGACAATGATCAAACACATGGCAATGTTTCTTTCTCGGATTTTAAAAAACGTGATATGTGAGGAGTTTGGATGGTGTGAAAATTTTGGACTATTTTAAATTCAAAACATAAGTAAAATATGAGGTTAAAAGTTTGGTGAAATGGTTGGGTGGAAGTTAATGGGGAAGTTAATGCATCATAAATAAGGGTATATTCGTCTTTTCACTAAAGGTGGGTTCAAAATTAAGTAGAGGTGGAGTCAAAAATTAGGTTTTTTTAAAACGGGTTCATTTATCCAATTTGAACTATCGGTGGGTAAAAAACCTCAATTTCCCATATAACTTCTTATATGACTATATGATTTATGATTGATTTTACCACTAATATATATCTCTAATATATATTTGATATATCTTTGATTTACCATTGATATACCTTAACTATGATATCTACTTATGTAAATATGATATATGTGTGTTGATATATACTTGTGATATAATTCATGATGCACCATTGATCTACCACTCATATATCACTGATATTACCAATGATTTCAAATATATTAYATTTGATATGTGTTTTGATATACTACTAATCTATCTACTAATTTTTTCAATGGCGTGGTACTGAGTTTTTTTTTTATATATATATATACTATGTAAAGCATTTTGAATTTAATCATATGTTAGCCAATTTATTAATAATTTGTTGATATCATAGTGATTTACCGTTGATTTAGTACATATATAGCTATGATATATGTCTGATATATAGTTGTATATACAACGATTTCATTTTCTTTGTTTGTACCATTGTTTTCATTGAAAAAAAAAAGATGTGGATATATTAGCATTATATCAACACACAAATATCACAGTTATATTAGTATATATAATAGTTATATTATCAGTAGTAAATCAGAATTATATGAAGTATATATCAGATATATATTAGTAGTAAATCAAATATATATCAAATTTCTAAATTTAATATCGTAAAAACAAAAGAAATAGGAATAAAAAAATCAGAGAAATAGATCAATTGTCAATGGCGTTCCAACTCCATTATATGCGCCATAAAATCCAATTTCATCTCCAATTCAAAGTTGATGATCATCTCATTCTCCAATTCCTCACTCAAATCAGTCTCCCCGTCGGGTCCTCCCTGTTCATCGCCCACCATTCTCCTCTTCCAAAAACTTTATCAAATTCTCCGCGGTCTGCCGCTACTCATCCAAGCTCATCTTCAACACCATCAATCCCCCCACTATCGACTGATTATCCACTATTTCCTCTTCCCTCACGAGCTGCCGCCTCCTCTGTTTAATAATCTCCCTCCTCCAATTCCCCTTCCTCGTCCTCATCGCTATCGATTTTCATCGATGGAAGACGCGCTGCAGTTTTCCAAGTTGAACTTCTCTTCAACGCTTGCAAACATGATGCACGTCCTTGTGGACTCCGCTTGGAATTTCAGGGTCACCGACTTCGATCCGTCGTTACCCTTTGACTGGTACCGGACTTTGGGAGGGTTCTTGCCGTCGAAGGCTTCACCCACCATGGATCCCTCGTACGAGATCTGAAAAAGGGGTAAAGTCATAATAATAAAAAATTACAAAATCAGAATTCTAATATTTTGCTATATTTTGAAAATTTTAAAAGTTGGTGACATATTTTGAAATAAAATAAAATAGTTTTACTGTCCAAATACAATTACTCATAAAATAATTTAAAAGTAAAAAACAATAGTCTTTTTATTATGTCATCAGAATGCTCTCTACCGGTAAGAGGGAAATTTTCCTAAAAATAATATTCAACCTAACTTATTATTAAGGATCAAATTACACCATCTTATTATTAAGAGTAATAATGAACCTACTGGTGTTTCGCTGTAGAGATCTGAACTTTGAGCTCCAAAAGGCTCTTCAAAAATAATCCACTCATGATTAATCATAGCCATGAAAAACTGTAATGTTTCTTCCCCTAAATTCCAAAGCTCTTCCAATTATGATAAAGTTTCTTTTCCACTTTTGGAATCTTATTAATTAAGGAAAAATTATGCATTCTTTTTGTTTTGTTTTGTTTTTCACGGGAAGCTCTCATTTAATATGTAACTGCCTTCTATATTTAAAATCAACTTCCTGAACCACACATCTGCAGAAAATTAATTTGTTCATTTCTAAGAACTGCACCCACAAATAGAGTTTCTAAAGAACAACAAAAAAAGGAGGCCACAATTCATAATCCCAATGAAAAACAACTGTCAATCCAAGTCACTAAACAGCCTCAATCATGTTATATTTAAAAAGAATCTTATTGCATGATATATATGTTATTTACTCCATGCAAATCAGTCTAAGCACCGCTCAATTCAAAAAATTTAATTTTGATCGGCGACCGTGTACAACATCCAATCATTTATTCATATTCATAACAGTTTTGCGCCCGCATTCGAGCACCCCACGAGGACCGATCCCTCCGGAGATCAGCGGACCGCCGTTGGAGCTCAATAATCTGCCACTGCCACACGCTTTTGTCTCCCTCAAAGCTCCTTCCACGCGGGAAACTCTCCAGCCCCATCACGGAGTCGTCGTACTCTCGTCTCAGAACCGGGTCTGAGAGCGTCTTGTAAGCAGCATTGAGCCGAACAAAAATCCTGGTGAACTGCTCCTTCATGGAGGGGTCACCGCAAACGTCGGGATGATACTGCAAGGCCATGGCCCTATAAGCCCTCTTTATCTCCTCACTACTCGCGCCGCTCCCGCCGCTCACCGAAAGCAACTTGTAGTAGTCATCGGTGGCCGCCGCAGGGAACGCCACTGCAGGGGGTGGCGGCAGCGGCCTCGTTTGGCGGCTGCCCTTCATCCCTAGAGGAATAGAGCAAAATGGGGCAGTGTTACTTGGAGAAACAAACATTGGGGTTTAGGGTTTTTTAGGGTTTGGGGAATAATTGGAATGATGGGATTCAAATGATGGAGAAATGGGTGTTTATAGGGAAGAAAAAAGGAATCTTTGGTTGAAGTTCGCGGAAGGCTCGTGGAGGGTTTAGAGCATGGAGACAAAGGGAGTTGCGGTGTGGTTTGTTTGGAATTGAAAAATATGGTGGGCTGTGGAAAACGACGGCTGATTCCAGGGATTGTTTACGCGTTTTTTGACTGCATGGTTACCGTCGACAAACTCTATGTTATATTTGCAAAGGGAAAGACCGTAACTTTGTCTTGTTCTTCTTGTTTATGTATTTAGCTGCACGTCATGGGGTTCTAGAAGTTTCGTGTTGTTTGTGACTTGAGATGATCTGTAATGTTTTGGTTTCTTCTACTTCAAGAAATGCCATGTGTCTTTGTGCAGTAAAGTCTGTGTTCAAATTGACTTTGACATAYGAGAATTTATATTTCTAGCTAATATTTGTGCTATTGGTTGGATGTTTTTTTTAGTACAATAAAGGATCGCGGATTCAAACTTTTGATGAAGGTAAGTAATATATTCACCGGATGAAATATTATCGTTGGGATTAATTTCAAAACACATGGTTTAAGATAATTAATAAACTATAACTGTGGACGTAAGTACACCATAGTTAAGGTGTTGATGTTGATTTATGCATAGGTAAGCATTACGTAGATGCAACGTATGTCTTTGTTTTTGAGCTCTTGTTGCCCGCACAAAGAAATCTAACATCGTAGTACTTTGTCAAATGCACTCCAATGTTAAAGTTAGAACTCAAATTGGGAGCTAACGGGTGGAGCAAAAAGAGTAATAGGATATTATCTCAAGGATGAGAGTCTACTAGAGAGTGTGTGTCGAATCCTCACAGGAAATTGTGTAGGGAAAGACGGTTTACCTTGATTAGGTTTCTCTTTTCCTTATATATAGATAGTGAGCTTAAGAGCAGGGGCAGAGATAGGGGACGACGAGGTGTCGCGTCTAGGTGCGACGGAGCCCACTGACAACCTCTCTCCTACTSTTGTATGGCGAATGGGGGCATGGCAATGCTCTGGATGATCTTTTGAGTGTATCACTATTTGGGTACGAAGTGTTAGTATCATGTCCGTTGGCTGTCCTCGAGAAGTCCAGGTGTGCTCAGGTTTAGACCCAATATGCTCGGATCATAATCTTTTTCCTTGACCTGGCCTATGTGGTTGGATAAGCTCAAGGCGCGACACGCGCCTTGATTTTACCCGATAACATAAGGTGTATGCAACATTTGTTAAAATTATAATATTTGAAATTTCACTCTGCAAATTGTAATACTATATCTTGAAAATTATACATACATATATTAAATAGACTAAACAACAACAAAGATATTCCGAACTTTACTATTTGTTTAAAAAAATATCTCTATCTTTTCTAAAGTTCAACTTTTCATAAACATATATTCCATCATTGTTTCTATCCATAAGTTTCTTTTTTACTTCCACGTCATCAATTTCTCCAAATCGTCACCTAATCGAAAAGCTTAAACTGATGGATTGGTAAATTTAATTGATACAGGGATATCTCAATAATTAGATACCTCTAATTGTTTGAAAGTAATATTTTTATTTGTCCAACTAAAAGTCATTTTCATTTTATTATTTATTGATATATAGCCAAGTTTTTCTTTTGAACAAAAATACTCGAAATGAACTTCACAAATATGTGACGTTGAATAATTATTAATTATTAAAACAAGTAAATCATTATCAACCAGGCCCAGTTTAACTAACTTCATTCAAAGTCCAACTACTCTCAAAATTCCAATAGACGCCATGACGCATGCTAAGGTAAGTCGCATTGTAGCAACAAGCGTAGTTAACTATATGTCTTAGATCTTACGCGTTCTTCTATACTTCTTGTTGAGATACTCATAAATGAATTAAATTTATCCAACCTATCATATTAAGTTTTTGGATTGAGTGGTGGTTTATTCATTCTTAACATGATACTAAAGCGGAGAGTCCGGTATTCGAATCCAATATTTATATGAAAGCAAAACTATAAATTTGGTGTCATACCCTATCTATCCTTTTTACTTCCTCGCTCCAAAGAATTTAAGATGTTATTACATTTTCAAATTTAGTATTTCAATATACTTCTTAGGTTGACCTTTTTCATTATCCATAATCACTTAAAATTATTAATAACACAAGTAGAGACTACTACATATTTTATTGATCGCATAAAACACCAAATAGAGTCGAATAAATGAGAAATTCATAAATAAAGTAAAAATTTTAAAGCAATATTGCATTTAATTTCATCTTTCGCGGCGCATCGCTCCACATAATAGAACCAATAAAACGTCCCATGCCAACCAAAATATGCCTTTTTGAATATTTATTTTGCTTTAAAATAAAGTAAAAAAAGATTTTAGAAGATCTTTCCCCAAGAACAAGAAGAAACTACTTTGCAAATGAATATATAAAAAATATAAATAATGTATAAGGGAAACACTAATACCCGATCGTTAATTCGAGCATAATTCAATAAATAAGACATTAGTTATACATTTTCTTAGTACAACAATCACCCACTTCATATAGACCGTGTTGTACTAAAATAATTTTAGTAATATACCTTATTACTTGAACAATGTCGAGATTGCAACGCTCCTCTATTATTTTATATTACAAATTCATTGGAATTTCTTGATATCCCCAAGTGAAAAAATATGTAAATGAACAAATACCACTTACAAATGAGAAGAATCTCACGACTATATGCAAATATGATACAATATGGTTAAGAAAATGCTTCAAATAAACTGATATGGTACTGTACCTTATAAGTTATAAGGTGCATTCTCATTTTTATAGATCAGTTACTACCTTTTTCTTTCTATGATCGAGAACAAAGCAAGTTGAGACGACTATCAATTTAAGAATTATTTGAATGACGGAAAAATAAAACGTTATTTTAATGTAAAATGTAAGGAATAAAAATGGGACATTTCTTAGAACTTTATTTTCGAAGAGATGACATTTCTAAAACTTAGTCAATAGTGTAGCGAACTGCACGTATAAAATAATGTTAAAAACATTAGTTCACAATAAAATAAAATTAAAAATTCCTATGGCGACCAGCTGCGGCAGTTCTATTTTTACTGATAAAACCAAAGGCTCCACAATGAATGAATAGAAATAGAAATATAAAGCCGGCAAACAGAAATCACACGCATGTTTGGAAGGCTCGACAGAATCATCATTTTCATAATATTATTAATAATAAATTTTAGATCAATTTTATTGAGTGAAATGATTGCTATTTTAAATATATGAATTTTTTTATATATAATTTTTTAGAAATATTAATCGACATCGGATAAGCGGCACGTAAATGTCATGCAAGTGCCCAAACGCACTTATTATGGTTGCAAATAGAGTAATGTATGTAATCAAATTTGGATGAAGCCTCACACATCCTCGTTATCTATATTCATGGAATTTCATCTCAAAACTAATTGACAATGGGAGGAGTAGTCCATATCTATTATAAACCATTTTTAGGTCTCTTTTCTTTCTAATGTGGGATCCTTGAAAAGTAGTTCCACGTGTGCCTCGCAGCTTCTCCCAACAATTATTACGGAGGACCTAAATAAACTGTCGTGACATGGGAGATGGTTGGCTTATAAAACTCAATAAAACACAAATTTTACCAATTTTTTCTTTGTTCTCGTCTATTTGGAATTTGCTTTTGGTGATTATCTGCATAATTAAACAAGTTTTGTGAAGCCCTAATCTGTTAATTAGTCGGTGTTATTTGAAAAGTTGTTCGTGGAGCTAAGGTCGTTGGAAAAGTTATGTGAGAAGTCAAAGTTTCATTTTTTTATATATTTTAGGCTAAATGTAAAGATTCTTCACTATTTTAAAATTCCAAATTTTGTTTTTAAGTGTATCAATTCATTTCAATCAAGTTAGTTAATTAAAAATAAGAAATAATAAGAAAATAAACTGCTTTAGGAAAGTATATATGATGTGGCACAAGGTCGATTTCTTGATCCAATGAAAGTTTCTTGGTAATGAACAAACAAGTGATAAATCAATTATTCCAAATTTTTATCAATGGCCTCGGAGACTACCAGAGATCAAATCACGTTGCAGGCTTTTTCTTCACTCCAAGTACACTCCTACAACCCTATCTCCCATGAGCGAGCTAGCTTGTCACGCTCGAAAAATAGATGTTTACAAATCTGGCATGAGGACCACCTATGGTTAATGATATCGTGACCAAAGATACTCTTATCTTTTTTTTTTCTCTTTCCACATTTTACTAAAAAAATAAAAGAATAAACTATTGTAGTATCATGTATTCATAAATTTATAAGCATTATATAATTTTACCCAGGTTACATAGTGAAACACATCTCACAAGTTTTTGTGAGAATATTATTTTTGGTTTTTTTTCTTTTTCTATTTTGGAAATCATATCATTTCTCCTCGCTTGCAAAGATTTTTTTTTTCTCATCCATGAGTATGAGCCAGCTTGCATGCTGAAAGAGGTAGTTTCAATGTTTTACTTTATTTTGTTTAAAACTAACATGTTTTAGCTTGTTTAAGTGCCCAATTGAGATTATGTTCATGCATTATGATTAATCATAGTCTATTTATGCACAAATTAAGTTTTTTAACATCATTTAAAGTGGAAAATTAACAAAAACAAAAACCGAACTTTTTGTGTATGTGGACTCAGGGAGGTGTCAGGCACCTAACTTCCATTTTGCCCTTAATAAAATGTAAGTTCTCAAGTGTTTTGACAAGTTTTCAGCCTCCATATGTGTCAAGCAAGTGTAGGAGAGTATGTTTGAACAAGATGTTGGGTCAGTCAAGCGGATTGGAAGCTTAAAGTGGAGAGCGTTTTTCTACCCAACCAAATGTGGCTGCCTA